TCGACCCCCCCGGAGCTGGAGGTGCAGCACCACTCCCTGGCTGTTCCCAGCCGGCAGAACCGTCCCGCTGAGCCAACCTGTCTCCTGGAGCAGGTCTGGATTGGTCTGAGTTGGCTAGCAAAAGCTTTGGCTGCTCTTTAGACTGGAAGGATGTCGCCTGGAAACGCACGCAGGGTTTTCCCTAACACTGATCCATCAGACCGGGTGATTTCAACCCTGACCGAAGTATTTGTCAGAAATCTTTGGAAGTTGTTTACTCCCCAGTGGGCAATTCAAACTCGACTTGCTCAGGCCCTTTTGTATCTGCCTTAGTATAAACACTGCAGTGACAGCAAATACCTGCTTGGTAAATGAAATATTAAATACAGCACAGGTAGTCTCTCTTCCCAGCAGTTTGCCATTTTGGCAAGCTCCTTATTTATCTGCCTACGGCTTTAGTTTTACTTGCCCCAGGCAAGTGCTACATTATTCCCATAAAGTACTTGACTCTCTGTATGTTGGGGCCATTCATAAATACATTTCAGGGCTTTTTTTTTTTGTAATCACAGCAATCAAGCCTCAGCAATCTAAAGGAATATACATTGCACTCCTGTATAATATGCAAGATTTATCACCAAGAAGATGGTGATTCAGCACTCAATAAATAATATATCAATATAGTCAGTTGCACCATAATCTAAAAACAAGTATAACATATACTTTGGACAGACTGAGTTCATATATATATACATATATATTAAAAGACACGTACAATACAAATTGCATACTGCCATCCAAAGCCAAGAAGAGCCACCCATGTGCTCTGCTTTATGGCTAATAGTCTCAAATCAAAAGAAAAGTCTCGGGCTGTTTTACTCTGGTGTCCTGAAGATTTGTTTGGAATTAGAAGTGGCTGCACTTTATCACCTAGGAACCTGCAAGCTGGTCAGCAGGTTCCCATCGCTGTGGTATCTGAGCAAGCCTAGTCTGATGGAGCCATGGCTGAGATTCACCAACTGGGACCGTGCCCGGCGAGGGGATTACAGGTAGGGTGTTGATATGCAGTTAACACACACCCATCCCGGGGAGCAGTTTGGGAGGCAGAGCTCGGGACCCCCTCACCAGCAGCGGCCAGTGCTGAGGTGACACGATGGAGGTGTGGAGGGACAGGCCTCGGCCGCTTGCCGGCACTCTGACAGAGGGGTGGAAGCCTATTATGGACTCATTTTGTCTTTTTTGAGCTATGCAACCTGACAAAGCACCCAACTTTTCCCTCAGAAACAAGAGTAGATCCCCAATGACGATATGACTGCAAAGGTGGAGTTGAACAGCCACAGAGGCTAAGGCATTTCTTCCTGCCTAACAAGACCGCTGCGTGTCTCCCGTGCAGACAGCAGACCCGGGGCAGCACTCCAGAGGCCACTGTCCCCTGATTAGGTGGGACACTCTCAACCGGCTCAGGTCCACATTCTGACACCGTGTAAAAAGTCTTCTGGTCCTCTGAAGACAAGTTTTTAAGACCCACTGATCTAGGGATAAGCGATACGTTTTTAAGAGACCAATTTAGCGTGACACCAAAAGGTATTTTGTGGGACTCTAGTTAAGGAAAAAAAAAACAAAACAACTTCCCAGAGATGAGGCCGTTCCTGCTAACAGGAATGGCAACTGTGCACGAAGGAGCAAGCTGAAAAAACAGCCAGGCTGGCTAGTGCAGCACTAGACAAAAACTAAACCACGAACGCAACGGCTACGAAGGTATTTTTCATATAGCGTCAAAAGTGTGCTAGGCACTTTAGAGTATTAAAGGAAAGAGAGTTGACACTGTCCCATTAGCAGGATGTGGAGTTGGAGGGTAGGGAGTTGTCTCGACAGCAGACACTAACAGAGACGTGACCTCGCACAGTGATTGGAGATAAGAGGATGCTCTGACAGGCCTGAAAATTGGGCTGTCGTGGAAAAAAGTCACAGGCCCGTTCACCATGTCTCGATTCGTACGTAGCAAAGCTCTTCTGGAAGTACAAAAACACGCTGGAACGCAAAGGAAGCTCTACGAATATGCAGCTACCTTTTAGTAGGTTACTAATTTTGCAAAACTTCTAAACTCTTAAAGCCCATAGGACATACTGCAGTACTAAGTGGCGTAGAATTCTATTCCTTCTCTCGAGGTTGCCGTGAGTTTGGCACTTGAACTAACAGCTACACAAAAAAAAAAAAATTTAGTGCAATCATTTTTCCTGAACATGCACGTTCGTATCTGGTACAGAATAAAGGGTTCGACGGGAGAGAAAACAAAGCAGCATTCCACAATCCCACTCCAAAGGATTCAGAGTTTGACTCTTCGAATGGAGACCACCGCCACGAGAAGTCAGTTTGTGTGACAGACACGAGGACTTTTTTTTTTCAAAAGGAAATGGAATTTTACCAAAGTACTGCAGAAGACCACTGCATACAGTATACCTGGTCCTGCTGTAAAACATCTTGTAAACAGTTCATAAAATCTTCATCTAAAAGTAAGGCATAAGGCACACCAGACATGTTAGGGGCACTAAGCAATACTGAAAGCAGTAGCGTTTTAAACCTTTGACTCGCACAAGCACCTTATGTGGCAAGGTACTTTGGTTTGCACTTTTTGAGAGCACTCAACTGCAACTCACGAGCCACTCCCGTTGCAACCGAGCCGCTCCCTCGACAAGTGAATATTCTGCTCCGCCAAACACCGACGGGACCTTCATTAACACGGGGTAAAGACAAGTTTTAAATCCATTCTGCATCAGAACAGTCGATTTCCCTGTAAAAGCAGGTGTGCTCCCACCCCACGATGGCTGTTGCACTGTCATCCTGTAGTGTCCGTTACCTATCAGACCCTAGGAAGGAAAAAAAAAATGGACCTCGATCTCTACGCAAGATTCCTGGTTTCTCAGTCAATGGAAAAGATGCAAATGACAGCTCTGGTAGGAACTGAGCTACTGTTGGTGTTTCAACCACAGAGTCCACCGATTTTCTAAGCGTCAAAGAATGACAAGCACGGAAACAAAACGTATTTTAAATGAAGAGATGTAAAGAAGCACAAGATTGTCCTTTTCAGAAACTTCTCCTGTATGCATCTCACCCGTCCGACTGACGTTCGTTCCTACACCATTACTTGGGATGTGACATCAAACCCAAATGGCTGTAATGTTTTGTGATTGTTATAGTGTTAATCCAGGTCTTGAAACTGCCTTGAAAACAATCCAAGTCAGATCCAGCTAAATACTTTTCCATATAAATTTCTTTATAATTCATTTAAAGGAAGTATCTTAATACGTAGAAGAATATCTGGAACTTTTCTATTTAGTACAAATTCTGCAATAATAAATCTGTAGTTGTCATTTATTAGTTGACTCGTAGGCATTAGGCATGAGAAGAATGGTGTCCCTAAACGTTAGAACCTACCAGCCCTAGTTCCTTTTACAGGCTCTACCACCACAAGACATTACAGAGTAACAAAGCTCACAAAGTACTTAAATAAAGTGTCTATGTTTAATTTCTGCTAAGTACTCGAAAGGGTAAATTTAGGGAAGAAATATCTAAAAAACGGCCCGAAAATGGGGCTTTTCAAAATTAAAATTAGAAAATTAAAATAAATACGATTTCAACTGCCTATTTCTGCGTTGTGACTGGAATTCCAATGATCCATCCAGGACAGATCAGCAAAAACTACCTTTCTCTGCAGCGAATTTTAAAATATTTAAATAACTTAAAAGGGGAATACTGAAGGAGTCCATTGACCAGATGATTCGGGGTTAAAACGCTAAAAAAGAAACCAAAACAAAACCACAAATGAGGATGGGAGAGGTGAAAGCATTCCTTGCTCTTAGTGTCGACTAAGCAATGTGTTATGGCAGTCTTCCTTTGGACATGACACAGTGTTGTGGAGAGGAATCAGAGGCAGCGAGGAGCAGGGGTTGGATCTTTCCATTCCTTCAGCCCCAGTGTCACTTGGCGTCCAGGCGCAGCCAGTGCAGCCCCTGGCGGGTGTAACGCACCAGCTCGGTCATGAGGCTTGAGTTAAAAACCAGAGGGCCCATAACTTTATCCAGTTCAGCAAAGAACTCTAAAACAACAGAAACACCAGTTAAACCAGGCACGGGTTTTCACAGGGGAAATATTACACCCAACCCTCCCCCCCTCCATCGTTTCAGCGTGGATCTTTTAGATTAAGATCTTTTAGATTAAGATTTTAGGATCTTTTAGATTAAGACTTTAGGATCTTTTAGATTAAGATTTTAGGATCTTTTAGATTAAGATAGGCAGAAGTCATGAAAGAGGGAAGGGTAAAACTAAAGGAAAAGGTCCTTTCTACTCAATTTCCTTACTCTTTTCCAGAAGACTGGTTGATAAGAATAACAAGAGTATGGATAAACTATTGTAAAGTGTCCTTGGCCTTCCCCCTCAAGTTTCACCTAAGAACCTCAGAAATGGAAATGCAGCAAGTTCCTCTCCCTGCACTGAAATTTTACAGGAAATACAACAAGTCTGGTTGGTTGGTTTGTTTTAAAAACATAGCTGGTAGGAAATGTTACATCTGACACCACCCTGACAACCACCCTGGGGTGTCACTGTACTCCACGGTGCAACTTCCCATCTTACTCTCCCAGAGGACCTGGTTGAGTGTCCTGGACACCATCAACTGCAACTCCAGAACTCCTAGGAGCAGTTCTGCACCCTCTGGTATCCCCCATGCCAGCACCCCCTCGTGCCAGCCCTCACCTTTCTGTTCTTTAGACAGCTGTTCGGCTTGGTCCCAAATTTCAGTGGCATAGAGGAAGTTGGATGTAACTTGGACGTAGCTGGCTGCCATCTGATGGATCCTCTGGGGGATCGTCACCGAAGACCCGCTCCCTGAAGGGTTGGCTGCCCCAGAGGAGTAATTTCCTGAATTCCCTGGAGACAGCTTTGGAGAGACTGGAGATGGCATACCCACAGGCTTGCTGCTCGGCCAGAGGGAGACAGGACATTGTGAAATGCTGATCTATAGACACATTTATCTACTTCAGGCACATCATGCTGTAAGGTGACCTCCTCCAAGACCTCTCCTCCCACCTCCCAGGGTGTGAGATGCTAAAGCACTCCCACTTTATACATCAAAAAGTCAGGATTTCCCCTACAACAAAGGAAATCCATGAGCTGGTAATGACTGCTGAGGATCCTCCATGGTAAGGACTGCTGAGCATCCTCCAGCTCTTGGGTTTTAGCTTCACAGTCAAAATCTAATTACCAAACCTCATCATCTCTTAATTCAATAAGATCTTAAAGTCATTGTTTAAATAAATCGAACCCCAGAGAATAACACCACAAACATTACAACTACACAGCAACTGCTCTGCCATAATATCACACTGTCAGGTAACACAGATCTCAACTGCCCTCCTAGAGCTCACAGAGTGATCCTGCACAGCTCCTTCCTTAGGCTTTCAAGAGCAGCAGTGTGGAACAGACAACCCTGAAGGTATCTGCAGCCATCTGGACTCAAAGCATGAATAAAGCTGTTATCATTTTGAGGGGGAAAAAAAACCCCACATAAAATAAACCAACAAAACTCACTGAGATAAGTGATTTGTTAGTGACACACTGACCCTTTTTTTTTCCAACAAGGAGCTGCTGAGCACTATCACAACCTTCCAAACCCTTTATCAGAACAGTTACACAAACAGCCAAATCAAAATCCACACCCTTGGAACCAGCACTTTAAGGAGTGAAGAGCTACTCTTGGAGCACCCCAGGCACACAGCTTCCAGAGGAAACTGGCTAGAAGTTGAGGAACAGAGGGAACAGCTTTTCCCACTCACCTTCCCATGCCAGGCGACGGGGCTTGAGAATTATTGTAGGAATTCTGTTGGAGGAAAAGCAAATTTGTCACCTGCTTTATGTTCATACTTGAATTAGTTTTACTGCATCTGGTTACTTCCAAATGAATTTTTGTAGTTTGTCTTTTAAGCAACAACCAACGTTCTGAACAACAGCCCAGTAACTTCAAATTTGGGAAAATAAAATATCCTGTTTTACTGATGACTGAGACACAAATGAAGGGATTATTTTAGCAACACAAAGAGGGCCACTAAATATACAATGTAGGACTGGAGCAGTCCTGTGTTCTAACCAGGAGACCCCACTGCCTCTTATGACAATGTTTTGGGATTTTCAGTCCATTAATAGGAAGAAATCTGTTATTACTGGCATTGAAAAATTAAAGATGTCTCAAAAAATTGTAGAAGTCAGGCATGTGAGAAGCCTGTTTCCTCTCAGGATGGAGAGATGGATGTTTCAGAGAAACACAAGGACATGAGTTATCTATCCCCAAGTGTTCCTCTGAAAAATCTCAGTCTAGATTAGACTGAGTAATTACAGAAGTATCACAACTGTTCTTCTCATCTGCAACACTGTCATTCAAATAAATTCACTCAAAGGATGTGTCTCTTCATCTCCTTTCCATGCCAGCACTTTAAAATCAGTTGTACAGGAATTTAGATAAATTCAGGGGTGGGGGTGTGGCTGGAATACCTTAAAAAGAACATATCTATATACAGAGAGAGAGAGAGATAGATAGATAGATAGATAGATAGATATATCAAACAGCCCACTGAAAAAAACCTCCAAAAGTCATAAATTTGGTTTTGAAGTAGAAGCTGGCTCTGGTGCCTGCTTTGGGGAAGGCTGAACAGCTGCAGCCCATGTAATGCACCCCAAGATTTCCTTCAGTTTAAACATGACAGTGAAGTTTCAGTTTGTTCTATCTACAGCAAGAAAAAAGTTTTCAAATCCTGCTTGAAGCCTACTGAGTTTGTCAAAGAAGGCAAAAGCTAGTCAAATTATTGATAGAGAGCTCTGATGCTGGGAACAGTAGAGTGTTAAACTACTCCCAGTTTTAAACTACTCAACTTTAACACACTTCCAAGGCCCAGCTCTAAACAGGGTACAGTCCAAGCTCACACATACCACTCTGAAAATTAGATTCAGGAATTTAAAGTGATGTAGAGCTTCAAGTGGGTTAGGATTTCCTATTTTAAAGAAAATACACATGCAATTACCTTCAGATGTTCAGTCAGAGTTTTAGAATATTTCAATGCACTTTCCTTTTTCAGTTTGAACAGCCTTAGGTATAGCAGAGATTGGCACCGAAGACTGAGCAAAGACAGAACAGAACATGTACAATTAAAGTCAGGTTCAGCACAACTGAGTGAAGTTCAAAAATCCAGTAGCTGTGTTTGTAAAGCTTTCTCTGCCAACTCTTGAGTTGTAGCTTTATGAAAAAAAATCCATAAGCACCTTTAAACTCTCAAGGAAATAAAAGCACAGCCTTGAGTGCCTTAAGCTGAAACTATAATTTTCAGTGATCTTGCTCATTTTCCCATTTCCAGTTCTCAGCTTAGGAGACCAGGAAGACCAGGAAAACTTCAGAGGCTAGGAAACTTAGCCAAGCTACTTCCTAGACAAGGGTTTAGTTTATTTTCCACCTGTGTCAGGATTTACAGAGCCTGATCCATTCTGCCATGGCCTCCCCTTTCTTTTTCACCCAACCCAACTGGCTCTGGTCCCCTGTACCTCCTGATTTAGGAAGCTAGTGACAATTCCTTACAGCCAGTCAGAATTCTGACTTATCCCTGGGTGAGAGTGTGTGGGAAGGATCCCCATCCTTCCTGCACTTACTCCTCAACGTTTCAAAGACTTGGCCCTTGTGGGCAACATCCCCTCTGCCCCAATTTACAGTCATTAGATACACAGCATTCATGTCTGTGTACAGTCATGTGTTTGGTTCAGCTACACCTGACAACTCAGGGTGACAGTTTCCTGCAGATAAAACATGGAATTACTCAGTGCAGTGTGTTAAGTTCAGAACACACTTACCAAAGCACTGCTAGCCGTTTATCTGCAGCTGTAGCATCTGGTGCCAAGTAATTCTTCAGTTTCATAGTGTATCTGCAAACAAAGGCAGCAAGCAAACAACAAAATAAAGATTACAGGATTGTTTAACCATCACAAAACACTGAAGTTCTCATGAATTCCTAGCTTCAACTGTCTTCATTTCAGGAACCTCTTTCAGCCCCTAACCAAAATGCTGACTAGGTGGCAACAGAAGTAATTTTGCTTCAAGATTTAAGGAGCATTAGTAGAAAGCATCTCAACCTTCAGGAAACCACTTTAAGCCTCAACAACTGGAACGAACTGGTAAGCGACCCAGTTTTATCAGAGAATGATAAGAGAGCTCAAAAGCTGGGAGTCAAACACTAATAAACCCAGAAGCTCCAATTTCCAGCCCTCTTTCCCACCCACTGGGCTCTTTGTATGTGCCCTGCAGTGCTTACTTGATTAATTCCACAGTTTCTGAATACATAGGGAACGGGGACTTGGATTCCTGAGCGTTTTTCTCCAATGCATTCCCACACTCAATGAAGGACACCACAGCATCTAGGTAGTACACAGCCTTCTCAAACCTGTCAGACTGAGGAGAGCACAAAAAACCCTCAGAGGACAAAAACCAGAGAGGAAGAACCAGAAAGCTCCAGCACAGAAGGGCAGCAAACCACCAAAGGCAGTGAATCAAGCCCTGTATCACGTGCAAGCACTGGGTGAAGGTTAGAGACTGACTTACCAGTGCATCTGCATTATGTTTTAACTTCTTGGCTTCTTGCAAATAATGATCAGCTGAGTAAGTCCTGCAACAGAGGACACAAGTGAATGGACTCAGCCCCTCCCCACTGCATGTCCTCTTGTGACTGAAGTTTCTTAATGTTGCCCCATTTTCATAGTTTTTCTAACTCGAGTTGCAGGAGCTGCACTACAATCAAGCTGTCTTAAAAACTGTTAATAAATAAGTAATTATTAAGAAGTGAATATTAATAAAGTAGAAATAAAGTAACTAAATAATATAAAAAAATGAAAAATGAAAATAATAAATAGTTAACTAGCATGCTTAGTTACAGTATGAAAAAAATTGTTAGGAATAGTTTAAAGTTCATTCTCTAATTTCAGGTAATTCAAGACAGCACTTTAAGCAACTTGATAATACACATAATTTGGTTAAATTTGTTGCATTTCATAGTCAAGCAAACCAAACACTAGACCAATGACAGGGACAGGGCAAGGAACAAGACAAAATTAAAAAAAATGAGGAATAATTAATCCACCAGCTCCAGGACTGGCATTACTGAAGTTGTGAAATATTTCCAAATTATGATAATAGCACAAAATAAATCAAGATGCATTCAGGTGGTAATTGCTTTCACTTAGCTACCCAAGCCAATCAATGCTAAATGACTTTCACAATTAGATGAGGCAAGGTAACTGTAAAAGTGTAATTACACATTTCAGTATATTAAGATATTACCTATGAGTTGATTAAAGTTTGAAACAAATTCTCCCATCCATCCTATCTTGTAAAAAAATTAAAGACATCTGAAATCAACACTTTTAACAGTCCAGTTACAGGAAATTGATGTCATTAAGTCATCTACCTACAGAACTAATTCAATCACTTCTAGGACCAGGAAATCCTAAAAATGCCTCAGTCACAAGGTTACAACCTGTCCTCATTCCCAAGCAGGTTTACTGTGCCTTTGGCAGGTGCTCTTGTTATGTCTTGCACTTCAACACACATTCAGATTTGATTTTAAAAAGTCTGATCTCATTTCAGTTTCAGTTTTGTCTTGGAATAATTACAAAATCCCTGTAAACTGCTTTGTCCTAAACAATTGATACTCTACTCCAATCATCAAATTAACTGTTTTTTTTAAGAAATTACTCTTGGGAGAAAAGCCCTTACAAGCTAGTTTGCCAATTCCAAAGAGTTCTTAACCAGGAAGTTACTTTTACATTTGAAGCCACTGTAATTTTATCTGTAAAGTGAATTTAGAGAACAAGGAGAAATGCTTTAAGCTCAAGCACTGTGCTGTGATTTGAGCTGCTGCAAGTGAAAGCTGAAGTCTGCACCAGACAGTAAAATATTTGCTATATTTTCTTTTCAAGATATTTTCTTTGCTGCCCTAGGATTAAAGCCCAGTCCCACTCTTGTGGGTCTGGAATTTCAAAAAATGAAGGCTCCTCTCTACAATTAATGAGCCAAACTCCTGACTCTAGAAGCCACGGGCTCTGCTGAGAAGAGAACAGGCAGAGGGGTAGCAGCAGTGTCCTGGTAAGGTGAAAAGGGACCCATCAACATTTAAAACCAGAACCACCCTGTGCTATTTAAGTCTCCTGCGTGATCCTTTCATGCTTGGCAGGCATGCTGAGGGCAGGCTGCAGCTCCTCCCAGCTGGCCAGGGCACGGGGAGCAGGCAGACAGCAGGCAGGAGCAACGTGCAGCTCCCCAGGGCACCAGCTGGGCTCTCCTCCTGGGAAGCAAACACAGCTCTCCTGGGGAGCTGGCTGAGCTCTGAGACTGCAAAGGGATGCAAAGGGAAAGTGCCTTCTGCTCTTCTTACCTGTCATCAAAAACGAGCTTTGCTCTTCTTGACTTGGAGCTCTCTGCCGACGGAGCAGATGCAGGAGGGCAGCTTGATGAGTTGTTCAGATTCTTCTCCTGAAAGGAGAATCATTGTCAAACCAGAAATTTAAAGAGTGGGTAAACCTTCTCTGCCTTCCAGGAAAGCATTTGTTGTGCACATTTCTGCCCTGGCTTCACATGTTACATGCAGCAACATCAGTTCTGCAGCAGCTCAGGCTGCCCTTCAGCAGGGACACTGACACAGCTCCCACGAGGGCTTCACCCAGCCCTGGCACAGAGCCACACACAGAGGCTGCAACCAAGCTCCTCTCTGCTGCACCAGGAGATGCCCATTAGAGGGAAGAACGCAGCCAAGGCTTTCTAGACACACCCAGCTCCAGGAAATCCCTCCCTGAATCTCCCATGTCACTAAGTCCTGTTTTTCCACTCTAACAGAGATGATGAATACATCTCTGACTTCTCATTTCTCTCAGTGGTACACTCTTTGCCTTGGAAAAAAAAATATATATATTTCAGAAGGATGAACATCATTTTCAGGGAGAAAAGTTAACTGTCTTCACCACACACTGTCCTTGGCTCCCCTAAATGAGACACAGCCCAACACGACACTTCAGGCTATAGAGGGACAGTAAAAACATCCTGTGAATGATAAGTGAATCCATTTTTAGTAGCTAAACAGCATAAAACAACTCCCCAGCTTCACAGGCATTTTCTGCTCCCTTAATTTATCATGACCTAAGGCCATCTATGCAGATACATTTGATACCCAGAAGGATGCTGGGTTGCAAGGCACCAGGTTTGCACAGCAATGTGGAAGCTGCCACTGCAGCAGAGAAACAAGAACAGAACATGCAGCACAGCTCAGGAAGAGCAAACACTACTCTGAGAAAGGTGTGACTGAGCATACCTGAAGTATAAAATGACAAACATCTCACAGGTTAACAGCTGGCTTAGGGACATTTCTACACTGATGAATGAAGAAGGGCAAAGTCTCTCAGCCTGTAAGGTAAATTCACTATCTACAGCTCCTGGAAGGGTCTTACACAGCCACTGAGACAACCAGCCTGCCAGGCTTTGGAATCTCCTGCTGCTGGCATCTGAAGGTACAACAGCACATCTCCCAGCTCAGATACTCACCATCCCCACCCTGATGACTAAGTTACTTTCTGCCTAACATCTATGAGCTGCTTTACTCCTCCCCAAATCAATTATCTGTCCTGAACGTTTTTAGTCTTCGCTTCTAAGCTCTTCAGAGACTGCAACTCCAGCTGCTGAGGTTTAACAGATGTTTTAACTCCCAGGGTTTCTACAGCCCCTCAGAGGCTCTGGGGCTCTGCTGCACTGCTTGGAGACAGCCACACACACTAGAAACACCAAGACAAAGGTGAAATCCCTCCCAGTTAAACCCACTGTGCTCCACAGCTGGCTATCCAACAGAACTGCTCATCACAGGTATTCAGTAACACACTCTCAGAGGTCCTCACAGGCTAATTTCTGTCCAGTAATACACATTTATATACTGATAAAAAAGCACATTAAAATTCAGTGACCCAAGGGTACAATTTTCCTACAGTATTTTAAAATTCAACCATGTCTTTCTAATCTACATCTCTTAAACCCCATTTTCTGCACCATCTTCAGAACCCCATTTTTTCTCCACTCCAGGCACAGAGAGCTCTGTACAATCCTGAGCTGGAGTTGAAATCATCTTTCCATGGTCCTCCAACATCACAGAATGAGAGCTACAGCTTCACAACCTAGCACTGAGCATGGACCAAGCTTCTGCTCTCCTTATAAACCAGGACAAGATCTGGATCTGCTCCAATGAGACAAGAGTAACCTCATTGTTCCACTTACCATTGCATAAGCAGCTTTCAAATTATATTTCTTATTAATGAATTAAACAGAAAGCAAGCAGCATCAGTAATCAGAAGGTGACTAAATACATTTCACTAATTAGCATAAGAACTCTGTAGGAATATAAGCATTAGTATTCCATGATCTCTCCCAAGTTGTTTTCTAATTTACAGATTCCCAAGGTACTTAAGCACTAGACATGAAACAACGTGTATCTAAACCTAATTACACCTAAATTTGAACTGCCAATTATTGTTTAGATCACACTGAACATGTCAAACTGCACCTAGGGGGAAATAACCCCCTGCAGCAGTACAGGTGAGGGGCTGACCTCCTGGGAAGTAGCTCTGTGGAGAAGTACCTGGGAGTCCTGGTGGACAAATTTACCATGAGGCAGCAAGGGGCCTCTGTGGCCAAGAAGGCAAATGGTTTCCTGGAGTCCATGAAGAAATGTTTGGCCAACAGATCCAGGGAAGTTTTTCTCCCTCTCTACTCTCCCCTAGTGAGGCCACATCTGGAGTCCTGTGTCAAGCTCTGGGCTCCCCAGTTCAAGAGAGACAAGGAACTACTGGAGAGAGACCAGTGGAGGCTACAAAGATGCTGAGGGGCCTGGAGTATCTCTGTGTTGAGGAAAAGCTGAGAGCCCTGGGGCTGAAGACTGAGAGGGGATCTGATCAATGCTGATAAAGAGCATGGGGGGCAAGAGGCTGGGGCCAGACTCTGGTCAGTGGTGCCCAGCGACAGGACAAGGGGCAACGGGCACAAATTGGAACCCAGGAGGTTCCATCTGAACAAGAGAAAAAATTCCTTCCTGTGAGGGTGGCAGAGCCTGGAGCAGCTGCCCAGAGAGGCTGTGGAGTCTCCTGCTCTGGAGAGATTCCAAACCCACCTGGCTGTGACCCTGGGCACCCTGCTGTGGGTGACCTGCTGGAGCAGGGGGGGTGGAGGAGATGATCTCCAGAGGTCCCTGCCAACCCTAACATGCTGGGATTCTGTGAAGCTGTAAAGCAGAGGAACAGGCCAAAGGCCTTTACAGAGAAGCTGTTTACCTTGGCTTCTTTAGCACTGCTAGAACTCTTCCCCTCTGTCTTCTTTTGTTTAGAAGATGAGCTGCTTTTACTGCTGCTCTCCTTGCTAGGGTTGCTGCTGGACTTTAAGGACGACGACTGACTGACCGTCCTCTTCCGGGAGCCATGTTCTTGCTTGGAATCTTTCTGCAGGGCTGGGGCAGCAGGAGATGGCAGTAAATCCTTCTCTTTAGCAGCATTTGGCTTTGAAGACCTGGACAAAAATCAACAAATTCAGGTTTGGGGTTTCTTTCCTTTAAAAAAAAAAAATCAAAAAGAAAATCGACCACACAACAACAAAAATCAAAACCACAAAACTTAAAAAAATTGCATACAAAAGAAAATATATATTTTTTTTTTTTTAAACAAATGAGGTTTTTATTTTTAGACCTAGCAAATCAGATATGGAGGAAAAGAAAAAGAATAATCATCTCAGTGAGCAGCTTTCCATGCTCCAGATTGAACTCGTTTGCACCGTTTTATTTGTCCTGACCTGAAAACGCAGTTGACAAGTTCTAACCATCAAACCACATCCCTACACCAGTTCTTAAAACAACACCCTCAACACCTACAAGGTCAGAGCTGAGTGCCAGCAGCAGCGCCGGCCTGTCTGTTGCAGACTTGTCAGCCTAACAGCTCATAAAAGAGATGGTCCAGATAAATTTTTCTTTGGAACCCAGGAAACTGGAAAGTTTTCTCAGCACAGCCTTCCAGTACACTCTTACCTTGGCTGCTGAGGGCTACTCTTGGTAATAATCATTGGAATTATTATCTTGGAATAATTATTATTCCCATAATAATTATTTCTACACATTATTTGTCTAAAATCACATAATTTCATCTTATCAAGTGTCCTTCAGACAACTGCACTGACAATCAAGTGAATATCAGAAGAGGTAAAAAAGCATCATCAAGCTACAGCCACATCTGTTCATTCTACAGCTGTTTCCTAACAAACAGTAAGACACTGTTTAATTCAGAATGGGAAAACAAGATTTGTAGCATCTGATGTGCTGCAGCTCCTCACATATTTGTAATCTGGCAGTTACTCACTGTAGAGAAATATTTTCCATTGCATAATTATATCCGTTTTCAGGGCCTTGATCTGAAATAGCAGTTTTAAAAGGCAGTGGAAAAAAAAACCTTACTTTTTCCTGTGGATTAACACAGACCAAGAAATACAGCAAATAAAAGCATAAGAGCTATTACAAAAAGCATCGAAAATTAGAGAAATAACATACAAGTAAAGAGTATTAAACAATGTTATTGATTTGCTGCCTCTGTATTTACTTCTGTGTCACTCACACTTTTCTTTAGCTAATCTATCATGCAAATGTGAGGCTAAACCATGGATCCAAATCTCAACACCATCAGCTTCCCAGGCAATGCCAGTTAAGTCATTTATTCACAGTTTAGAAACTTAAATGGGGAATTAACAGATTGGGTTAATTGAAAAGCACAGGTTTTCCAAGACCAAAAAGCTAGAGACAGCTGATTTCTAAACCAGAACAAAACCCCACTGGATATTAGAGAAAACCCAGGAAGCAGAGATACCATAACACCCCAACCCTTCACATGAGGGGTTACCTTACTTCTGTCAAGGAAAAAACTCTCCTTGGCCAATCTTTTCTACCAACTGCTAGTAGAAATTCTGAAGTAAATCTTTCTGAAGTGTAAGAAACAATGAAATTTTACCTACTCATTAATAAGGAGGAAACACTTTGCTGGGGGGAGGAGGGAACGATGAGCACCCATCTTCCCCTTGATCACCCAGAGCCTTCAAAGTCATGAACACAGCCAGGATACTCACTCCCTACTGCTAGAAGCCTTGTGTCCTGATGGAGCTTTTTCTTCCAGTTTCGTTTTCTTGCTTTCACTGGCTCTGTTTTCATCCTCATTCTGAATAAAGCAAATGAGAAATACATCCAGGCAAATGTCCACAGTTACAGCTTCACTGACAGTGGCAATGTCTCATGTTAAAAGAATTTAGCAGGTGTTCTGCAGTGTACAGAATAAGATATATACAGACCACAAAAAAAATGCATCTAGGCCACATCAAATATTTGACCAGACCCTGATACTAGAACATAATGAAAAACAAAGTCTGGTTTCTACATTCCCAACCTGCATAAAAGTAGTAACAGCTAAATTGTTCATTTTAGCACAAACATATCATCAGGAAATACCAAAAAATCTGGCAAAGGCTTCAGTAAGAGATCAGGAGACACCTTTTATGTTGTGGAGCTTAATAGAGATGTCCTACCAATGCCAGAAAGAGGTCAAAGTCTTGCAGTCTATTAAAGTAAACTCAGAGTTGTTGAAGACTAGATTTTTATATAAATTTAATCCTAAAATCAAAGAGTCTTGAAGGTAAATTTCTAAGCTGTCTTCAGCAAGCCCTGCATCAAGCAACACAGAGAATAAAATGGAAATCAGAGCCTCACAGAGTAACCCAGCTGGTAACATAAACCCAAATTCAAACCCAAAAGATTTCAAACAACTATCAACCAGACTGTTTGCTGGGATAAAGCTTAAATTTAATTGGTTTTACCAAAGCTTTCTGGTTTAGATCCAAGAGCTCAGATCATTAATGCTGTGACTCCAAATGTGCACTGAAAGGTGCAACTGGTCAAAGAACTGAAAGCTGGTGTGTTCAGAGCCATGGGAGCACAGGGATGCATTTTTTTTTTTACAGTTACACTTGCAAAAAAATGATTAATTGCTGTACTGGTCAGTTATTCCCATTTTATAAAAAAAGCTCATACTTCCTCACTTCATTTCCTTATCCAGAGGAAACAGGAATCCTGGGAGCAGTACAGGAGAAACTTCTGCCTGCAGTTAGGTGTCAAGTCTCCCAGACAACTCTCATTTCAGTCAGTGATCAAGTTTAGTTGGGTTGCTTAACAGGAAAAGTGGTTTATCTGAAATGACCTCTCTCCTCTGGAAAGTCAAATGACTCTTAGGATGATAGTCTGTAAGCCCTTGATTTGACATGTCAACAAAGTCTTACAAGCCTGTCAACACAAAATTTTCACAATGAAATGTGGTGGGAGCAGCATGGTGGTTCTGAGTCCCTGAACCAGGGCTTCACAGAGACCAGAAAGGGAACAACACCCCCTGGGTCACTGAGTCCATCTGGGAGTCACAGGTTTGCTCTTTACACATGCTGTCTATATTCTGAGGTTTCTGAAAGCAGTTTAAAATTACCCCACCAACTACTCCTTACCACTCCCCCCTCTGAGAGTGTTACTTCTACTCAGCTCCTCCATTGACTTCTGTCCATTTACTGCCCTCAGACATTCCCTGATCTTTACAGCTGAAAAGATTCAATGATTTTTGGAAAATACTAAATATCCTTATGGAGAGATCCCTCTGCTCCCAGCAAAGCAGCACCCCTGAGACTATGGTTCCAGCTGCAGCCATGCCCCAGGCCCATATCTGCCCCATCCATCCCTTGTCCTGGCAACATGTGACTGCATGATTTGCATGATTCACCACGTTGAGGAGCTCATCCAGCTGCAGACTGCCTTTTTTTTGGGGGCCAGGTGAATTTTCCATTGGCTCAGCTGCCTGAGCTGGCCTGCAGTGCAACAGGGGCTGGTGCCAAATCAAGTGGAGGCATGAGAGGGCAGGAGTAGAGGTAGAAGAGCTGTGGTGCCTCCATGGGCTCTAGCCACACTCCTAACACCCCCACAGCTGCAACCTTCTCCCTTCCCCCTCACTCCCCAGGAAAATCTCAGGAGTCTACTGGAACAGCAGAGGGATGCTCAGAGTGTCCCACACCAAAGAGCTACCCAGAGTTATCTCCTAAATTGCCCAGAGTCACCACTGTGGGGTAGGACCTCAGCTGCTGGGTTACATGCTTTGCCACCAGTAGCAACCCACTAAGGGGCTGGGACAAATCTCTCTCTACAAAATCATCACCTTGTGTTTCCTTTTGCCTTTTGTTGAACTCTTGTCAGACGGCTGCTTCTGGGATTCTCTCGTGTGCTTCTCAGGCACGGTTTTCTTTTCCACTTTGGGTGCATCAGCATCCTTATAAGGCTTCCCTGGTATTCTTGATAAGAGGCTCAGGTCAATCTTCACAATAAGTGGGTACCTTTCATCAGGATCACTGAGTGGTGAAAGAAGCTCTTTCTCTTCCATAGGAGAGAACATTCTTTGCCGAAAAAAGCTGTCATCCTCCTCCATGGAAGATTTAACAGGAGTCCTATTGCTCTCAGAGTATTTGGGTGTTTGTGATGAAGGAGGCAGGCTCTCGTTTTCATCTGAATCAGAGGATGAGGTATCTGTTTCTATGAATTCCCTGGATTTCTGGGCAGTTTTGCTCGAAGCCTTGTATTTCTTCTTCTCCGTTGTAGGCCGAGGGGAAGATTTGGGCTCTTTCTTTATATTGGGTTTCCTGGAGCCTTTTGTGGCTGCCTTATGCCTGTTGGAAGGGATATTTGTCGCCATGTCTACTGGGGTTTCACTTTCTATTTTAAGACCTCCTCTAGGCTCTTCAACAGATGTTTTCTCTGCTTTCTTGGGCTGCTTTTTACCTACAGTCCTCCTCTGTGTTGAGCTGTCACTCTGGGCAGGTGATTTCTGCCTGCCACGGCTGCTCTCCGAGCCCTTCTGGGTGGGTTTGGAATCTCTCCCCGGTGTGGAAGAAATGGAATCCTTGGATCCACTCTGGTCAGTGTACCCACCCCCTGGCCCCTGATCCCGGCCCTCTTTTTTGTAGCCTTGGGAGGATGGGATATTGCTGTCCACAGAAGAAGCTGGTGACACTTTATGGGAATTAACTTTGTTCAACCAGTTATCCAGCTGCCACTTGTTTGTTGGTGGTGGCTCTGGCTAAAAGCAAATTAGGAAAAATAGTATTAGATAAAATATTTCACACTTCTCCCATCTTTCCCCTGGGACAGCTGTATTATACTGCATGCTTAAGCAAGTGGTACACCAAAAAAAACCTGAGCTAAAGAATGAAATACAGACTGATGAACACAGGTACAACTAACAGGTCTCATTTTTCCTTCAGGCAGAGCAGCTGCCATCAGCAGGCAATATTTGCTGCCACAGCTTTCCCCACTAAAAGCCTGCAGTTACCATTAACTTCTGCTCTCCAACAGATAATTGGTGGTAAAAAACACCTCAAATCCAACCACCAAGTGTGTGCTTATATAGCAAATGGTTATCACCTCCCATTACAGGTACTCCAGCAGAAGAACAGTCCAGCTTGAAAATGATCCCACGCTTGTCAGGCTATTTTTTTTTTTAAAGCAGATTGAGAATTTATCTTTTCTGCTTTTAAAACTCATGATTAATGCCAAGCTAATGAGGACAGCCCAAGTCCATGTCAAACCCTACCTCGGGGGACGCACTCTGTGAGGGTTCATTAGCTTCACTATCACTGGAACTGCTTTCACTTTCAGAGTCAGATCCTGAACTGCTTTCAGATCCACTGTGGCTGCTGGAGTCATCCCTGGAGTTATCTGCTCCTTCACTGTTATGCTGTGAAGGTTCAGAATTACTGAAAACAAAAATGAGGAGAAATGAACAAATATTAATCAAGGCACAAATATATCCTAGAAGTAACTTCATCAGAAAGAATAAAATGCAGTATTTTAAATATTTTTTACTAGAAAAATCAACATAACCAAACACAGTTCACCCTGGAAACAAACAACAGCCTTTGTTTTCCCCCCCTCTTCCTAAAGAGGCTGGTATAATTTGCAGGATATATGCTATTTAATCACTGATTAAATTCTCATCACCTTTTGTTTTAACCAAAGACAGATATGAATTTTAGAAATGAGATCAGGTGCTGACTGGGCTGCCCCTCACCACTGCCCTGGCTGTGCTGCAGCCCCCCCAGTGCCTACCTTCCAGGTGTGCTCCTGGGCACTGTCTTATCGCAGTCCTGCAATGAAGAGAAAGAGCATGAAGCTTCTACAAGTTACTTTAGGACTGTATATACAATTCAGTTGCAAAACATCAATTTAGAGCTTTTAAATTTTAAAATTTATTTAGCCTGAAGAGCAGCTTAATTCAGTACTTGAGCAGTTTAAATTTGTCTATGTTTTGTCTTTTGTCTGTGTTTATTTTCACTAAGTTTTCACCACAAATCTATTATCACAGAATCCTATATCTTCTGACTACAGTTCTAAGAGCCCCTGCTTCCACTGCTTGCTAATACCACGTTTCCATCTTTTTGAATCAAATAATTCAACATTTCACATTGCTACTCCTAAGATGCCCAGAGTACCAGGAGTTCACTGACTCAATGTACTGTCTCCAAGTTTTCCACATGAAGAAAATCAAGTACCAGAACTGGAACAGGAAGAAAAGAATCATAAGACAAGTGTGGATTACTGCTGGGTAGCACAGACCCTCCAGGTATTTCTCATTTGACATGCTAAATGCCACTTCTGGCAGAAGCTGCACAAAGATAACATTGGCAAAGAGGAAAAAAGAGAAGTGCTGCTGTCCTCCCAGTTACAGACACAGCAAATCTTATCATCCCAACACAGTCCCAAGCCACTAGTGTGCAGAGACATTCACACCATGAACCCTTCAGCCAGAATGGCAGAACATGGAGGGTTCAATCTTTAAGATGAGCCATTACATGCACTTTAAAGTACACTATGGCTGCTTTATCTTCAGAGAAAGCCCACCTGAAATCAGCAAAATGTGATTTTCCAGATAAAATCTTAGTGTTTTCACAAAACAGTTCTCCCCAAGCTTACATTTAGGAATACTTGAGGTTTGTCTAAAAACATTCAATTTAATTTGATTCTTAATCATAAATCTCTCTCAATCTGCCCAGTTTGCTGCTGGAACATCCACCACTGCTGGAGGTCAGAGAAAGCCCACCTCAAATCAGCAAAATGTGATTTTCCAGATAAAATCTTAGTGTTTTCACAAAACAGTTCTCCCCAAGTTTACATTTAGGAATACTTGAGGTTTGTCTAAAAACATTCAATTTCATTTTTGATTCTTAATCATAAATCTCTTCTCAAGCTGCCCAGTTTGCTGCTGGAACATCCACCACTGCTGGAGGACTGAGCTGTGAACACATCCAGTGGGTTATTCAGGAGCTCCCATGGGATGAACATACCTGCTCTCCATCGCTGTCTTCACTGCTGCTCAGTTTTAAGTCATCTTTCAACATACTAAGTAAAAGGGAGAAAGTGAGACAAGTTTTTCCACGTACTTTAATTACTCTGAAAGCCTTCTTCTATATTTCAACATGCTATTGTTTATACTACCAAGTAGGCTGCGTGGGTGAAATCCACAAGATGCCATTCTAATATTTCATGTTCAAGAATGGTGAGTTAAATCATTCTTTCAAGAATAAGGATTCTAGTACTTTGACTCCTTAGTCCATTCAAATTTAGACAGGAAATGTGACACAATTTACTACTGCAGGAAGAGCTAACGTGTCTATTCAACTCCTAACACACCATGGCCAAGAACACCATGCTAAATGGAGTCAAGAAAGCTCACACCAGTGGCTGTTTCCTGCCTCATGGCAACAGAGCAACTGCTCTAAGCCATCTTTATTTCATTATTAGGCAAAGACATAGTTATTTATGATAGTCATACATACTATTTCACAATATTGCAAGTATGTGAACACACACTGAAAACAGAGCAGGGTAAGGGCCCTTTGTGCTTGTTGAAAAACAGCTTTTGAGTATAAAAAATAAAACATCTTACTCTGTCTGGTTCGATTCACATCTGGAGAAAGAAAAAAAAAAGAGAGAATTAAAAGTTTAACACTTCTGAGTTTCACAGTATAGCTGCTCTACTGATGATCTGCAGAGAAACACCAACCTCTAGGACCCAGTTCCTGAAAGATTTTTCATTGCTATCCTTATAACAAAAGATGCATTTATCTCCTTTTTTCACCAGATTACAGGCAATTTTTAACTACATGGTTTTGGGACACTTACTGTAAGTCTATAATAATTTGGGGGTGTGTGTCTTTCCTTTTTGTTCCATTCCCTTCCCAAAGGTCACATGCTTCTTAATCTTGCTAGCATGCACACAGACAAGCAGAAGAACTAGACTTTTATTTTGTGACTGCATCTCAACAAATGTGAACTTAGAACAAGTTTTCAGAACCTACAACCACTTTCATTAAACATACAGTCAGCTGGTAAACCTTTATTTTCACAGCCTTATTTGTTTGGAAACAGTTTTGTAACAGCATATAATTGATTTTCAGGTATGAGAAAGGTGGGCTACACCCATCTAGAATATTCCAGTTGCTTCTTGTTTGTTTTTCCACTTGCACCACTGACAACATAAAATGTTTGGTCTGTGTGCATAACTTAATAGAAATATTTGTCTGTAGTTAAAAGACCAAGGAGAACAAACTTCACTAGACCCCAAACACAGTTTGTCTCCCCCAGCACAACAGGGTTTCCTTTTCTGCCTCTCTGTGCAGCTGCCACAAGCTGCTCCCAGCTGCCAGCGCTGTGGTGCACGTTTGATAAGTCCTGTCCCATCCTGCCTCCTCCTATCTGCCAACACCCTTCTGGCTCACAAGCCAATTCCCAAGAGTCCAAACTCCTGCACACCTATCCTGAGACCTGACAAGGGAACAGGGGGACAGAAAGGCAGCACAGGGTATTTGTTACTCATTGCAGTGTGTCCCAGAGAACAGCTGCTTGAAGATGATCTCCTTTTTCTGCCAGTCAAGGAGAACAATACTAATGACTCTGTGCAAGAACTCACAGGTTCTAGTAAAAAAAAAAGGGCTCTTTTCCAAATCTCTTAAACTATTGTTTGAAAAATGTTTTCTCAACGCCCACTTACGATTTGGATTGGTGACCATTGGATGGTTTTGATGAAGGATTGTATCGTTCTAGAAGAAGAAAAAGAGAAATGCAGTTGGAGACTCAGCTGTTGAACCAAGTCATGCCAAAGCTGCCCCAAGAACAGTCTGAGATAGACCAAGAAAGGCTGAATAATCAGGAGAAAGCCACAACTAGCTGATGCCAGGTACAGTCTCCCACTGGCTGCAGAACTGAATGGGTGAGAGACTAAACCCTAAATGCAGCAAATAATTTAATCAACAACAAAAAAAGTCATTTATATCATTGCCTTTTAAACCAATACACACTGAATTTGTTATTAATGGTATGAAAAATGGTTTTACTTCTATCAAGATTCATCTGTTGCCTTCTGCATGCAGGATATGGGACAGGCCAGCCTGTCAAGCTGGCTTGTTCCAGCATCCCAACATAGCTTTTTAACAGATCTGCAATCTTTTGATCCAGCAACCCAAGTCAGAAACCAGTTCTTACAACAGGAATACACACTGATACAACCTGGTTTGCAGTCTGGGAGACTTTTCCTTCCCTTTTCTTCAATTCTGGCAAAGAGCTAAGCCCGATTCAACAGAACCAGGAACTGAGGCTGTTAAAAGCTTCCCCAAAAATTCAAACAGGAGTTAAAAACTGGTTCTGTGTTTTGACTAACCTTGCCTCTCCACTTCCACACCTAGAGATCAGTTACTACCTGAACATAAAAGTCTACAATTTCTACAATTTAGCATTATGGAATTAAGTTTCCATTTGTTTCCTTAATTGCCCACTGTATCAGGTATTTAGATTAAGCTGCTTGTGGATATCTAAGAATAAACCATTCTCCTTTTACTACTTAATGTGTTTAATCACTTCAAGAGGGAGTGGCAAGACTTTTGAAAGGTAACAGCAAAAATCTAATTCAATTTTACTTGGCATGTTACCTGTGTTCATCTAGAAATTTCAGAATTATTCAAAACAATGATACAGTTAAAGAGAAAGAAAAAGCTGCTTTTGGCTAAGATCTGTACATGCATTCTAGGACAAGAAATTCAAGGGCATTATTATATTAGATTGCTATATGAGTTTAGCCAGTTCTCTCTCTTGATTTTAAAATGACAAAGTGAAAATGAAGAGGGAAACTGCAATGTGCTGCTTCTATTGAAATACAAACACAAGCACTATATTGGTTTCTAGTATGTCCCCAAGCAAGGAGTTGGGTTTTTTACAGGGTGTTTTGTTCTACTACTCAGTTATTTCCAATTAGACAAACAAAGGAGGTATTTTTTCAAGAATTAGAAAATGTGACAGAATAAAAATGCTTCTTTTTTCCTAGAAGATACTACCAACCTTAACAGCTTGGTCTGAACTTTCTAGATCTCAAGAAGAAATGCTAAAAAAAAAATCAAGCACTTGTTTTATAGGTTAAAACTTGAGAAAGGACAGAAAATCTTAACTCAGACTCCATCCTGTTACCAGTTTGGAAGATCTCTAAGAAGCACAACATCTGAAGAGATATTAAGAATACCAAATCACAAGAACATTACACAGATTACAGGAAGTTTGATACACTTACTCTGTTCTCCAGTGCCAAAACTGGACTGTTGAGACTCCTAGGGGAATAAAAGATCACAAGTGTTTTTTTCACTGGGAATTTTAACATATCAAACCCCATGATTTAAAGGAGAAATGCTTTCCACTTAAAGGATGGCAGCTAACTTAAGCACACACACAAAAAAACCCAAAACAACCAACAAAAAAAACCACTCAACAAATCCAAAAAGAGTGGCTGTCTGTCTGGGCCCCAGCTCCACATGCCTCTGCCCAAGCTCAGCTCTCCCCCTGGCTTGGCTTTAAGAAGGGCCATGTGGAGTTACACCACATGATAGCTGGAACTCCAAAAGCCCTACTGCCATAAATCCTGTCTTCAGGTGTGTTTAGCATGGGAAGGAATCATTCAGTATGTTTTTACTTTCTTTATCCATGGAAAAGCTTTGCTGCTGGTTTTGTGTGTTGTCATTCAAAGTCTTTTCTTCCTCAGACACATAACAGCACCATGGTGGACAAGCAATGAGTATTAGCAACAACTTATCAATAAAAACCCCATATTTCAGCAACACAAGAGCCCAAGAGACAATGAAACAAGATCTGACCCTGAGTCCCTGGTACATGCAGTTGGCCAACACATCATTCCTCCCCCCAACAGCCAGATCTTTGTGCAATCAGATAATTTACTTATGCAAAACCCAATGAACAACAATACACAGCTTCCTCTGATACATGATTCTGCTACCTACAAATCTAGGTGTGAAAGATGAAGCCTTGCAAATTTTAGCCCTTGCATAACCTTCAGTATTCCCTTTCCAGAAAAATGAATTGTGCCTCCCAAGACATAGCAGATTGAGGTTTTGAAACCTTACAATATTATTTTACCAAACAAATACACAGAGGCTACTGAGTGACTGAAAAGCTACTTCTGGACTAGAGTGACATTTACAATAGGACCTTCCTGACCTCATTTTAAAATGAGGACAAATGTTGGCCCCATAAATAAAAACTGCAAATATCTGACTCAAAAAATAAAGTTATATATACACACACACACACATTTTACTTCAATGCTCTGGCCATGGGCAAACCAGAATTACAATCCAACAATGAATTCCAGGGGTTTTGGATATATCTGTGAAGCACTTCTGCCAAATAACCAGGTCAGTGATGGGCAGCAGTTCTACACACAAATTTAAAAATCTCATTTTTTTTAAAGGCACAAAAGATTTCCATAGCAAAGCACACTTAGATCTTTCTCATCTCCCTGAACTTTTATTTCAAAAGTGAAAGCCATTGCAGTAATGCACTGAATGAGTATTTGGCTGATAGGGAACTTAATAAGGAACTTGGAAAGTGTTTCAAATGCCTCTAATGGAAAGACTGGAAGAGACAATAAAAATAAAATTAACCTATGTTTAAAATGCAAAGCAAAGCTGGAGAGAAAGCTTGTGACTTCAAAAGAAAACAAGAGCTTCACTTCCTTCAAAATACAAACTGATTTTTATCTTTCAGGTGACTGTGAGGAATGCAAGTGTGATTCCCTGCCTGCCTTCCTCCAGGGTCAGCTTGCACAGGCTGACAAACTGTGTTATCAAACCAGAAATCTGGAGACTGCACAGTAACCAAACACCACATCCACAGAGGGGCTGTGCCAGGGTGGGCACAGGATGAGGAACTGGCACTCCTTCTCACCAGCACTCCTGTCACAAATTCTGCAGAAAGCACCTGCCCCTCTGCTCACTTCAGCCAACTTCCTATTTCTAAGGCACAGTGCACTCTTTCAGTTAAGTTAACACCACTTTAATGAGGTGTTATGTTTAAATGTGCAACTTTTTCCAACTCTCTTGCCTTCTATTTTGTATTTAAAAAGACATTATTGAAGAAATTCAGGGTTTTTTTTAAAAAAAAAGGCTATACTTTCAACTCCAAAGTTCTTCACAGAAGTATCTTCTAAAGGTCTACTTCAGAAAGAAGAAATTCAAAACAACTTAAAAGGAAGGAAACCCTTTTAACCAAAGTGTAATAGACTACTGAGATTAGATAGTGAACACACTCAAGCAGGAAACAAAAATTGCAGCTTGTACTCAGACACAGAAACCATGGAGAGAAGAACCCCCACCATCTGGACAGAATGGCCTTGGGTACCAAGGCCACATCTGCAGGCTACCAGCTTCACTGCAGCCTCTGTTGTGCTGAATGGGACCATTTCTTCATTGGAAGTTTGAAATCTCAGGTCAGGTCTCCTTTATATTTGTCTCCCAGCAGAGGAAGGCCCTGACTGCTGCCATTCCTGGTAACTCCAGCACAGGGCAGATGCTGAACACACCTGGAGGCAGAACTCACCTCCCTGGAGATGCCTCGAGGTCCCCACACAGGTAGGTGGGTACAGAAACTGCCAATGCTCTCCCAGGGCTTTGACACGAGGAACTTTCACCCTCCAACAACCAGCTGGGATTTTTTAAATGATTTTACAAACACACCAGTATTTTGGAGTTTTTTGACTGCAAGCCCACGGCTTTAAAAAGTGACACAGGATAAAATTATAGAGTGTTAGGTCAGGGGATAACATTTCTTATCAAGACTTGGGAATCTGCATTTTTTTCATAGTATCCATAAAACTTTCCCTGACCTATTTTCATGAAGTTTTATCATCTCATTCAAAGACTTCCTGATAATTATTAGATATATTTATAGTAAATGCAGAGAGGCCCTGGTGAGGAGTCTGGGTCCCTTCAAGCTACTCACTGTCTATACACAAGGAGAATCATTTCACTCCAACTGTCTCACAAATAAAATTGTCTGTCCACCAAATGAAGCTTAATTTTATGTGTGCAGGCAAAACATACCAAACTTCTGCACACAAGAGGAATGCCAGGAAACACTGCAGCATATTACTTGTAAACACTGAGCACAGTATTAAAGAGGATGAGCCTTCCTCAGTGGTACTGCTTGATCAAAGTAAACCACTGTTTTGTTTTGTTTTCTGAATTCTGCCCTGGGTCCAGACTGCACAAGCCTATGGCTCACTAACTCGCTGGAATTCTGCAGAGATGCTGCTGCCAAGAATGACAGGGGAGAAGGCAGAGGAAATTATAGGCTTTGGATGCAGAGAGAGAATTTGACAAAGTTCCATGGCTAAGATGTGCAGCCACAAAATAAAAAAAAGCTGGCAAAAAGTCAAAAGACTCAAGAGCAGCCATAAATGGAATTTTTTTGCAAACTGAGCAAAGAAACACAATCCAGGTTGATCGGTTCAAGAAACCACAACCCACCTTTTGTGCTCAAACATCAAGACTGTGCAATCTCACACAGTTTCCCTCTGCGTCACAAAGCCACATGTGCTTCTGCACACCTCCTTTCTTCCCAAACTGAGTCAAATCCAGAAACAAGCACCTCCAGCAAACCCACACTCAGCTGGGCTCAAATGTGTGCGAAGGGAAAACATCTCCCCAAAGGTTCAGGAATAAGGACTTCTGTTGATGAGGAAAAGTCTGGAATTTCTTTCTTTACAATAAAAGGTAAGAATTATTTCCAGGTTCACAGTTTCATATAACAAATAAACCCTGACTGAAAGGAATATATGTAAGATTAATATTGACCTAATGTTAAGAAAATAGCTGACAAGATTTATTTCCAGACATGCCTTCAAAAGTAAAGCTGAGAACTGCACAGTGTGTTCTGCCTCTTCAGCTCACTGGAGAGAAGCAACCAAGACACAGGGAGAACACACAGCACAGAGGGCGACCACCACAGGATTGCCAAAAGCTCTGGGATATTCAGCCAGGGTGAGAACCTGAACTGTTTAACTCTGCACCAGTCTGCAGGAGTTTTGTGGATATGTGCTTACAACGTGGGACCTGGAAACTTGGGCCAAAAGAAGGGGATGTCAAAGCACTCGCAAGACAATCTGTTTAGACAGAATATAATCAGAGACCTCAGTGAGAAAATCTGTTCAAAATACTCCTGTGAACTGTTTTGGTTTGGGAACAGCTTGGATCAAACAGGAAGCTGATAGCAGCAAGCAGTGCTCTAGGACAGCAGTCTGGTCAGGAAAAGGGGAGTCTTAATTACTATGAAGGTAAGAAGAACAACAGCATTATTTCTTCACTCTGAAGTGATGCCAAATTCAGGGTGGAATACCCCAATCTGTTTCAGAGATATGTTGAGTCTGAAGAAAAATTATATTGTTGATTTAAATCTTTTACTGGTAAACAGTAGACAGAGGAAACAAAACCTGAATTCTTGAATGACTCAGCCACCTATCGCAAGCTGAACGGTGCTTGCTGAAGTTGCTGCCCACAGCTATCTACCCAGCCTATCTCCAGCCTGCCTACCCACCAGCTTCCACAGCACCCATCCTGCAGAGCTGTATTTCCAGCCAGACAATCACCAGCACCAGTTTTCCTTGAAACCCTGCAGCTGGGGCTGCCAGGACCAGCCTGGGGGGAGGGAGCAAGCAGCTGAGAGCAGAACTCCTTTCCCCGAGGTGTCAGCTCAAGCAGGTCTCCTGTGCTACCAACAGCAGCAGAGCACGATTGATTTCTCTCCAGAATTAATAACTACTGAAGCATTGACACTATTAAGTACAGGGGAGGTTGGGAAGAGGATCTATTGGAACAAGCAAGCTGAAAATTTCTTCAGCAAAACATCTGAATTTTATTTTTTTTTTAAAACTGAAAATGTAAGATCTAATAGAACTATTAATGGACTTCAAAACTATGAGGAGAACACAGTTCGTGCAGAAAAGGGAAAGTACATTTAAATTTCCTAGCATTTACCAGCCAGCCTCAAGCACTCTGCTAGATGGAGGTAAACACTACACTTGGTTGTTTCTACACAAAATGATCCAAAGTGTTTCCCTCGTAGAGAAAACAGCCCAGTGGCATTTTCAAGCTTCAGAAGTATCCTGAAGGTTTGAATTTATGAAACAAAAAATGAAAGTTATATTACAGACAGCTTTGCAGACTCCTGTTCCTGTAAATCAGAGGAAAAATGATTACATTCTTCATAGGGCTGCTGCTGACAAATGTTGTTGTGAAGCAAGATAAAGAGATACAAAGCACTGAAACAAACCCAGAACTCTAGAGAATTGAATTTAAAAGAGCTCCAAAATCCTGATCTTTAATAGGAGTTTCTCTTTCAACAGCATTCAGTATTTGACTACAGCACTGACCTTTGTTGGAAAAGGAAATTTTGAGGGTTCAGTTTTGCATGGGGTATGGATAGCAGTCAGTGGAGGAGGCCAGGAATGGGTCATCTCCTATAACCAGAACAAAAATCATCAACAAAATTAAAGCAAAGATTTCAAGTTACAGTCTGGATTCAAATGTTAACCGTGCCTCTCAATTTTCAGTTCATTGTCCACACTTCACTAAGTTTTATATCCAAATCTTAATTTCCCAAATGCATAACAAAGATTTTACACACAGACCTAAATCTTAAACTGTTACCCAGGAGAACAGACATAATAACAGGCAGAAAGGCATAAATCAACAAAATTGGTTTCCCTGATCATAAACTATAGTAGAAGTCAGAGTCTGATCATTTCAGTCTCTGAAGAGCATGTGTAGGATACAATGGTAGAAAAAAGAATCCTAGGAAAGAAAAGCCTATAAAGTTTGAGAATAAGGGGAAAAATCCAACACCAGAAGCTGGAAAGTGCCTTGTATTGTCTCAGAGCACCTCCAACAGCCCCAGAGTACTGCAGGTCAGAGGCCATGGAACTGCTCAAGGGGAATCTGATCACTCTTTTGTGACAGCACACATATGAGCATGGGAACACAGGAGGAGGAACAAGATGTGACAAAATAACCTAGGTAGAAGAGAAGGGGAAGTTCTGCCCTGGGGTAGCAAAAAAGTTACAATCTAAAAAGATACCAGAATGCAAGGAGTGTATTTTGGTGGAAAAAAGGGGTAGTTGTGGTTCAGTTAACAGGGAGGTGTCCTACAAGAGCAGCTCTGCAGTGAGGCCGTGCAGGAGATGATGTGCACACCCAGCAATGCCCTGTGCCCACCTCACACACAGCTCTGCCCCACATTTCCCCCAGTCTACCTGCACTGGTGGAGTGACTGAAGAAACCCCCTGCAAAAACCTGCAGCCAAGGTGGTTTAAAAGGCACTCATCACCTGCAGAGTACTTTCCACTGCCTTAGCAATGTTTGTATTCCCAACAAAGAAGTCATGAACATAAAGCACAGAGAACTTACTTTTAGAATTTCATCCACACAGCTCACATCACCAGATGCTGATGCCTACAAATCAAAACTCAGGATTAACATCTCCAAAAGCAAATTTCCTGTCAAAGATCCCAGGGCTAGAAACAGTTAAAAAGGAACTTCCACCCCTGTCATGATTCATATGGACTCTATGTAGGTACAAACAAGAGCTTGCTCATTCTTTTCAGCAACATTAATTTTAATAACTGATAGATCCATATTTTTATGCTGTGAGTCACATCCAGTTATGAAAAGCAAATACATGAGATCTATGGAACTGTGACAATAATATCTTACTTTTCACTTGACAGTTAAAGTGATCATAGGCAGTCAGTGACATTAAGAACTTGTAGAGAGAGAAGAGAGAGATTTGGAGCTTTCAGTCATTTCCTGGAAGAAGCCATTGGATCCTATCTGAATTCAAATGCATGACTGTGAATGCACATTAATGACAAACTGCATTATGAAGTAAAACATACAATACAGCATGAATCTGGAAACAGCAATAATCATACAACTAGGAGTCTTCTGCATCCCTGATTGCTACAAAAGAAAGGAAGCAAAGCTCCTAAACAATTTGCTGCATCAGCATGTCAAGTCTTCACAAATAAGAAAATAATTTACCTAATGCACATTAATGACAAACTGCATTATGAAGTAAAACATACAATACAGCATGAATCTGGAAACAGCAATAATCATACAACTAGGAGTCTTCTGCATCCCTGATTGCTACAAAAGAAAGGAAGCAAAGCTCCTAAACAATTTGCTGCATCAGCATCAGTGTGTCAAGTTTTCACAAATAAGAAAACAATTTACCTTCTAATTTCCTTACCTGTGTCCTGGATCTTATCTTGCTGTTTGTTGAAACCCCAGGAACAAAAGCTGTCCTCTAGTTACCACAACTCGAGCAGTTTAACAGGAGATGCAATGACATTTTAGCATTAAGGAGCTCTCCTTGGAAGTGAGCTGTAATCACTCAGTCCCCTAACGAGTCAAGAATTATCAAACTACTAGAAGTTGTTAACTCAGTAGCTTTTTGTATCCAGCATAACTGGAAAAAGTTCTGTGCCCTGTTCAATTTCGAGTGCTTTAGGGTTAGCTTATTTTACCTAGGTGAAGGTATAATAATCACATCTAGTAATTGCTGCACACTTCAAAAGGAAATCTGATATATGCAGATAGTATCACTGCTCTATGACAACACGGGTCCCAGTAATAACAATATATGTATCTAGCTTGTCAAAACATTTGTGAGTATCCTGGTATTTCACTAACTTCTGACTAGAGAAATACTCTGAAAATCAGCCCCTCTGGGTTAAGCCAGCCTTTCTGAAGGTCTCATAGCCTTTCTTTAATAAAAAACACAGTAGCCACACAGAAGAAGAAGAAAAAAATAGAATAGCTTGTGCACAGTCCCCATTTAAAACACAGCTCTTCACCACATCAGTTTAAGACATTTTGTGTAACAAAAAACACAAGAGTGTTTACTAAAAACTCAATTTTGGTTACGTAGATTGGGATTTTACAGAAGCTGGAATATCCCAGCCCAATGGGACTCACATTTAGGAAGCCAGGAAAGATGCAGGCACTTACATCCAGTGGTTGAGAGGGTATTTTCAGCTTGGTTAGATGTGCTTTGCTGCTCGGCTTCAGCTCGTTCACGCTGCTGCTGTGAGTCTGACTGCTGTAGTGTTCAGAGGAGAGCTTTGGTTCCATGGACTCCTGCCCGTCCATCGGCCTGACGTACGCCGTGGGTTTCTGCAACATGGAGCTGGACTTGGACATTAGTGAGGGTGGGAAAGACTGATTAGAGTGTTGTCCACTTGAAAACGAGGGTACACGGGAGGGAGAGTCCCAGTTGGCATCAGGATCCCGGGGAGATTTGGAACGTTGGTGTTCTTTGCTGTGGTGATCGTTTCCATGAGACCTGGAATGGCCGGAGCTCAGTGAAGACACAGCAGGGGGTTTGCCAGGGCTGGAAGAACGGCCTTTGGAGTGCTCGGATCCATGCTGGCTCTTTTTGCGGCTGCCGCCGTACAAGTCACGGTCGTGCCTCTGGCCACCACTGCTGGAGTTATTGCCACTGCCACGCTGGCCACCGTGCCCGCTCGGCAAGCCCGAGGACCGCTTCTGGGACTGGGAGGAAGTGCTGGGTGCTGGTCCTACAGGAGTCCATTTGCTGCTCTGGTGCGAGCTGCTGCTGTGCCTCTGATCACCAAAGAAACTTTGGTTGGACTTCTCGTCCGGCGCTGACGGGACGGTCGGTTTGGGGATTGCAACGAGCTTTTGGAGAGATCTGTCTCCTATAAGATCCGTCATCTCATCATAATTACCAAGCATGCTCTGAATACGACTAGACAATTTGTCTTCTTTGCTGGTCTGTGAAAGCAATTTTTAAAAATAATGCTTTAAAAGCCGTAACTTCGCTTTCAGTTAATAGACTTGACAACTCCTGCAGCTGATCTGAATTTCAGGGCTAAGATCACGGCTAGGATCCGTGTCTTTTTTGCCACTGTTTCCAATTCCCAATTCTAGTGCTCAAAGCAGTAATTTAACTTGTTGAAGCGTAAGGACAAGATGCATTTCAGCAGCAGGAAGAGCTGAAAGGGCACTAATCAGTGCTTCCAACCCAGCACTGGGGAGCTGAATGCAAGCTTCAATACTGTAGATGCTTACTAACATCTTAAAGATTATTTTTCTAATATAGAATGGATTAGCCCTAAAAGGTTTTAATTAACAGTATAATAAAATCAACTTAACCTCACCACCGTATGTAATTTTTAATTGGTATTTATGCTGGCATAATTTTTGTTGCCAACAAGATTACACCTAAGAAAAGGGTTCTTCCTTACTTAACCAGCTTGTTTTCACAGCAGATACACTGCACCACTTCCCATGCATCCCAGGCAGCTTTAGTTCACTTCACCCATGTGGGATTTGGTTATCAACCACAGTAAAGTGGAATAACAAGCCAGGAATAAAAAAAAAAGAAAAAGGTCTCTCAACTTTCCTCCTGCAGGAGAAAAAAAAAAAAAAAGAAAAAGTCTCTCAACTTTCCTCCTGCAGGAGGACTGTTTTCAGTCACAATGTTTTACTTCTTGCAAACCAGCTGAAATGGTGATAAGGGAACAGCTTTGCTTTCCAAGTGAGTTTTGAGCTACATAATGAAAATCTCGAATGGTTCTTTCTTAGCTCTCCCAGAATCTGGTTATTTATTCCAATTCTGCTCAGCAAATAAACCCAGAAGGATATCCAGCACAGGTTAACAGCTGCACAAGATCATAAACGGAGTTGACTCCTTCAAAACAAACTAAAAAATACAATACAAACAATTGGCATACTAGTTAAAGCTGGTCATTCTATCACATCAGGCATTTCAGTATTTTCAAACTAACCTCCTATTTAAACATTCTCTTTCTGAACTTACCCAGGTCTGGACTACATTGGTTGAAGGCTAGAAAGTTTAGCAACAGGCTAAAACACCCAAACCCCAGCATTCGGGCTGGACACAACGGACAGTTTAATTGTTTTGAGTCACTGTAGCAAAAGCAGAAAACACCAAAACAATTTAGGGTTTTAGCATCCCTTTTCTTGCTCCCACAAAGTGGCTCCTCCTTTGTAAGCATTTTTAAAAGCTGTCAGTATTGCTGGTTAGTCCCTGTCCATCCTTATTTCCAAGCCCTGCTGACATACTTGGGTTGCCGTAAGAGCTGTGGATCTGTGTAAAAACACATTTCAGATGCTCATTTGCCTACGACTTCTGCCATAAAAACTGCATTTGTAGGAACTGCATGAACTCACAACTTTGTAGGGCTCAGCAAAGAGAGGAGAGTTAGGTGGAAAGGCTTCTTCCCCCTGCTGGATCTCCTGGTTCCGCCTTTCCCTTTCTTTCATGCGCAGCACATTCCGGTCTTCACGGTTCATGTTGCTACGGACAAAGAGCAGCAGTTCTGGTGACAGGAGGACAGGAGGGGGGACACGAGTGCACGGCCAGCCCCCCAACCTCCCACAGCACAGCGACCTCAGTCCTGAGCCCTCCACTGACCCCAGCTCCTCAGAGCTGAACAGGAGGGCCCAATCCAGGACACCTCACACTCAGAAGAGCTACAACCCACGAGCTGCAGCGAGCCTCTAACAGGGGAAGTTCATACACTAATAAAAAAAATAAAAATATAAATAAAAATGTACAAGTCCTGAGGCAAGCGACTGTTTCAAACCATCTCACCTGCCTGCATCACTTCGCTACTTCCACCCACGCTGTACAGCTCCCATTCATCTCTAAAATGCTTTTTCTCCTCCACATCCCTCAAACGTCCTCTAATTTTACTCTCCTATTCCCCCACCCATTCAGTGCCTGACTTCTCCTGTAGATTTGGGGTTATTTTTGCTGCTGAGACACCTTTATTGGCACCCATTCTCCCACAGGCTCTGACCTTGAGCTCTGATGTTGTTTCCAGGTCTCCCTTCCTCCCAAAAGACACTTCTACCCAGAGCAGTCCTTTCAGCAGTGACACTGAACCTTTCCCCTTCGACCACACAGTGTTCTCCCTCAGCCAAATGCAGATTAAAATCTGCCCAGCTCTTACAATTTTTACTTCACAGTTTGGTCTTGCCACTGGAGTTAACAGAAATAACGTCAAAGTGTTGCAACAGCAGCAAGTTGGAAAAGGTTCCCTTAGAACTTGATAAAGCATTGGGACTTAAAGGAGTAAAGAAAATGAGATGTTAAATAAGGTGGTACTGACTCTTTTAACATGTTCTAGCCTTCATATCAAGGGATTCATAAATGTACTTTACTGATCTGCACAATGTAGGTAGGTGCTCCCAGGAAAGGAATAGATGTTCTTCCACATAATCTACAGTCTAAAATGAAAGTGCCATCTCCTTACAAAGTCATTATTGCATGTTTTTAGGCAGCTGCATGGTTATTTAACAGCAATGCTACATCATTAATTTGAAAGCTATGCCAAACCAGCTATTTCACCCTAAACAAGAAGACTTCAACCCATCACTCAATTTTTAAAATATCAATCTTTTAACCTTAACATTTTGACCTCTCGCTGTAACTTCTGACTCCTTTGGCTTCATTTTGTGCTCTGCTTCACAGTGAAATCTAAGGGGATGCCCAAAACAGAATAAAACTACAGCCTAAATTTAAATCTTTGATGCTTCTGAGGGCAACAAGTTTGTTGTTTGTTGTAAACAAAGTAAAAGCATTGGCACAATCCAGCTCAGTGCTGACATCAAGCCTAGGAATATGATCACTTTTATGTTATATGTGAAAAATCACTTCTTTCCTCTAGCTTTTCTCCAGCTGTTTAAAAAGTTTGAGGCTTGAAAAGCTTATTGTTCAGACTGCAGCTGAACTTGTTATGCACACAGGATTTAAACAAATGTAAGATTTAATTAGACACTGATCAGTTAAAGCCAGCTGGAACAGTTTGAATCTCTACCACTTTAGTATCAAAGGCAGAATGTGAGGCAAGGAGCAGGAGTGTCCTGCCCTTGAGCAGTTCATTCACATCAGGACACCAACATTATGAACCATCCACAGCTACACATTTAGAACATTATCACCTTAGCTAGGAATCCTACACCTACATTTTACAAACAGAGGGTTAACAATTAACAAAGACCTTCACTACTTTCTAGAGAGACAAGCATCACCTTTCAAAACTGTATCAACATTGACTAGAACTCTTGGGACTGAGGGAAAACCCCAACGTTTGTACCAGCACTGTCACAGGAAAGGAACATTACAGCAAAGATCCACTTGAGAGCAGAGTTGGAAGAACCCCAGAGCTGATCTCTCTGTCCCTGCCAGGTCAAGGTAAAATTAGCCAGCAGAAATGCATCAGCTTACCACACTTTTCACCACTCCCCCAGTCTCTTATAGTCAATGATCATAGAATGATGTGGGATAGAAAAGATCTTCAAGACCACAGAGTTCAAGCTCTACCAAACTCTACCAAGTCCACTGCTGACCCATGTCCCTCAGCACCACATCTCCATGGCTTTCAAACGTGCCCAGGGATGGTGATTTAACCACTGCCCTGGGCAGCCCAGACCAAGCCCTGACAACGGTTTCAATGAAAAACTGTTTCCTAATATCCAACCAAAACCTCCCCTGACACAACTAGAGACCATTTCCTCTTGTCCTGTTGCTTGTTCCTTGGGAGCAGAGCCCGACCCCCCCCTGGCTCCAGGCTCCTGTCAGGAGCTGTGCAGAGCCAGAAGGTCTCCCCTGAGCCTCCTTTGCTCCAGGCTCAGCACCCCCCGCTCCCTCAGCTGCTCCTCCCCACACGTGGGCTCTAGACCCTTCCTCAGCTTCGTTGCCCTTCTCTGGAAATGCACCAGCACCTTGCTGTCTCTCTTGTAGTGAGGGGCCCTGGTAGGGGCATCTTGTAGTGAAGATGATAAATCATGGGGAGTCATTTTAACTGTATGGGAATTTGGTTTAGGTTCTACTCCAGTCAACAGTTTGAATGTGATTCAAGTTAAGACTCGTTTGTATCTCATCTTCTAAATCTCTCTACAGAGATATTTTAAGTGTCTCCAATGTGTACTGAGCTGTTAAAAATCACACTAGCATTGAATGGGTAATTTATTTAGTGGGGCTGCTTTAACTCTGCACTCCAGACAACATCCCTGTCTAATTCCAATCTCCCACAGCCACGGAACAGCACAGAAGGTAAATCTGCCTGGGTTGAGGAGACACAAACAGTGGAGGAATTCTGAAAAGCAGAAGACTACAACATGCACATTAAACCTCACCAGCAACTAACTTCAGCATGAAGGAAATTGCAAAACGAAGGGGTTTTTGTGATAACTACCCTTCAAAACCCACCACCACTGTGAGCAAACTTATGCACTATTTGCTGGTCCTCATTTTTCTCCTGAGCCAGAGGGGACACCATGCAGGGGATACCTCTGCATGGAGGCAAAACTGCTTCTCCTTCTCCCAGATCCATCCCCACATCCTGGATTTAAACCTTTTCCCACAAGATAAAAGAGCCTGGAGCAGATGGGTGCAGCTGAGCTCCTGCCACCAGCAGTTCTGCTCCTCCCTCCCTGCACTCCAGGCATGGAAGTGGAAGATGAAGAACTTGTTGAGTTGTACCTGCTGCTGTCATGAGGGTCCTGCTAGAATTTCCCTTCCCCTCTTCCTAGGAGGCCTGAGTGAAAGAGTGAATTCCCAGGAGGAGCAGAACCAGGCTAAGGGAGACAACGTGTGATTCTCCAGCTTAACAGAAAGAGTTGGAAAGACAGCAGGAAATTCAGCAAGAAGTTCACAAACTTCTGACCAAATTCATTAGCAGGTGTTCTTTAACCACTTTCACTGCTGTTCAAGGAGTCCTGAGCACATGAACTGGTCGAGTGTCATTTGAATTATCCACAACAGAAACAATTTTCATTTCTCATTCCAACATCTTACTTAATCCCATTTAGTATTTCCATGTATCCTTAATCCAAAAAGGGCACAGCTTTGGCTGGAGTTCCCTCAGGCAAACATCATGCTGGACTTTATGACTGGCATTATGAAACTCCAGCATTGCTGCAGCCTTCTCCTGCTTCCCACCTCCCACTCCCAGGGCTCTGGGGCACAGTGACAGGTCCCAGCTATGGGGCCTGTGGACCACACAAAAAAACCAAAACCAACATTGCCAAAGTTTTAGTGGCAATGCTGTCAAAGGGAAGAGGTCCCTGGCCAATCCCTGGGTACAGGTGTAGGATCTGCAGCTACCTCTCACCCCCCGAGCCACACCAGGCACCCAAGAGCCTGTCCCTGCCCAAGTTTACCAGCAGCATTGCTCCATGTTCCCAGACTCCAGAGGGCAAAACAATCAAAGGTCCACGTGAGGAGCAGTGGTGTGCCTGGGGAACCCTCCACACCCCCCCCATCAAAAAGCAATCCAGACCCACCACCTTCCAACCACGCACTGGGGGAATCTTCAAAGCATCTTCACAACACCTTGACTTCCTTCAAGACATCCTCATTTAACTCAAGGGCTTTTTTCTATCTGAATTTGTTTCATAAGCAAGAGCAATCAAACAGTTCATTTAGCCAGTGCCAGTTAATTGGCTGTGATGAAACATGAATTTTGTTTGACAACATTTGGCCATGAACGATAAACAGTCTTCAGAGAGAACACACAGTATCTAGTGCCTGGTGCAGGGCACACCCAGCTGCCAGAAGCTCAAACTCAAACAAATTTAGTTGGGCTTTTTCTTTTTTTAAAAAAAAAAGAGAAAAAAAACCAGCTGGAAATCCTTATTCCATTAGGGAATGATGTTTTCAGAAGGCAATTAAGAACACCAGCTATTGCCTTAGTGCTGCATTCCCAAAGCTACCTGTTACTTATTTCAAATATTTTTCTTGTACCATGGATAGCAAGGAGCATCTAAGGAGCTGGCACAGCATGCTTCTCACAGCTCATGCATCAAGTATGGCATTGGTACTAATCCTCTCACTAAATATCATGTAAACAACCCTAAAATGCTACTCTGTCAGCTTTTAATATAAATGTACTTGCATAAGTGCTGTTAAAAAAAGGAAAAATTTTTAAAAATAATCATCTTGCAACCACAAAATTAACAAGAATCCACCAACACACAGAAGAGGAACGTGCTCTGGTGTCACCAAAAGCTATTTATTTCACACTTGGCATGTGAAGTGAACGTGTAGTCCCCACTTCCAACGTTCTTTGTTATGGCAAAGGGGAAAAAAAACTTGTACAGCTTTGCACAAAAAAAATACAAACAGTACACGCAGAATACTTCTCCATTCTTAAAGGTTCATCATAATGCTGCAAATACAGAAGCACTACAACCAAATAATCTTCAGCTTTACAACACTGAAATAAGGAACAAAATTAAGAACAAGAGTTTACAGAGAACTCGAGCAACATTCATATGCTCCAAAA